GTATTCGACGAGCTCTACACATTGAACAATTCAGATTATCGATAAAGGCTCCATAATGGGCCTATGTGCCTAATAGTACAGTCCAATCCGATTACGGACTAAACACAAGTCACACTCTAAATTATATATAGCCTCTTAAAATTTGTTTAAACTACAAATTGTTTCATGCAGTTTTGAAAATTTCATCTCATCTCTTGAAATTTTTTAATTTCATAACAAATAACTTCTTTTACTAATAAATTATCTAGTCAATTAATATTTTTTAATGATATTTTGATACAAGTTTCAAAAATTAATTCCACACCACTTTTGAAAACTCGTTTCAGAAGGGATTTGAATTTGGAAATTTGGCTTACCCGGTTGTCCTCCTATGCGTCCCAGCCGGTTGACCGAAACAGTGTTTTTTTTTTTCTTTTGGCAATTGGCACCAAATAAGCAAAATCCAAACAAATCCTAAGAAAATTAACGTCTCTCTGATAATAAATTTGTTAAAAAAATAGTTATTTATTAAAACTAGTTACAAAAAGTAAAATATATAAATTAATTTTTATTTATTTATTAAGTTGTTTTTGAATTTTTCTGATGATCAATATCACCACTAGGTAAAAAAGTACTATCAATTTTATTCTTTCAAATTATGTTTAATATAATAAATGAGGAGAGAGAAGGTAAAGTACATAGTAAAAATATTAGAACATCCTCAGCAGACCTCCTAAATCATTTCTTTATCTATTTTAGGGGGTTGGAACTTCCTTATATCACCTCATTAGCTTCCTTATAAGCTATCCTAAACTAATATTTGTTATAGTGACTCCTACAAATAGGAAATCACTGTAACTCCATCATATCTGACAGTGGTTATCCACTCAGATATCCGATCTGGCAAAACTTACGTCACTACTCATCCACCCGGACGTTCGGTCGGTCGACCGCTCGGACGTCCAGCCCCTAGATTGTCTATCTTGGAAAGCCGACCAATTAATTGGCCAACTGGCCCCTTTATCTGCCGTAATTATTTGACTTTATTAAAAAACATGGAATTGCCTTTCAACCACCACTTTTGACTTTATTTTATATTATTCATTTCAATGCTTTTCCAAACGTGCATTAATTATATTTTTTAACTATTTTATTATTAAAAAATATTCAAATTGAAAAACAATTAAAAAGATTATTTTAATAAAATAGAGAAAGAATGAAAAGTTTGTTGGGGGAAGTAGATGAAAAAGTGATTCCTAAAATAGGGAATGAAATTTTTAATAATATTTTATGATAAAATTTAGGTAAGCTAGTAAGGATGCTCTTAGGATCTCTGTAATGACCCTAAAATGCAAGTCATGATTATATTAATTAAATTATGTGTTAATGAATGATTATATGATTTATTTGTGCATATCTGTCCAAATTGGGAAATTATCTATTGTGATTATGGCTTTGAAACTGAAATTGACGGCCTAAATGGATTTAGAAACTGAAATTGAATACGTCGATATGCTAATTGGAATTTTTAGAACCATTTGGGAAGTTTAGTTGAAAATTGATTTTATCTAATTCGTTAAGGTGTGTTTGGGTCTCAATATTGTATTAAGCCATCTAGGTATGAGCTCAAACTCATCTTTTAGAGAGAAAATCTGAGAGATATACGTAGAGAGAGAGTGAGAGTTTGAGAAAGAGAGAGAAACCAAGAGAGAAGTGAAGAAGAAACTCAAATTTGACTTGGATTTGTCAAGATTATGCAAGATCAAGTGTCTATGAAGACTCTAGGTAAGGATTTACCTCTCAAACCATGAAGATCATATGGTATAGAGTTGGATTTATGGGCTATTACATGCTTGAACATATTAAAAAGAAGATGATTCCTTACATACATACATGAATATGTTGGATTTTGAAGTTATATGTCACATGCATTCTAGAATTGAGTTATATTGAAGTTCAATCTTATAATTTGAAAACTATAAAAAGGAATTGTAGAAAAGTTATGAGTTCCTAGAAGTTAAGAACTTGATTTGGAAAATTAAAAACGAGTTTGATTTATTTGAGTTGAAAATGGAATTATAGTTCATGAATATTTCCATGTTTTGAAAGTGTATTGCATGAGTTTTCTAACTTGAGAAGGAAACCTCCATGAATTTCAAAGATTAAAGCTCAAGATTATAATTTTGATATTTTAATTCAAGGATTTGGGGCTTTGTATGAAATGTGAGCTTGAATTTAAGGTTATGATTTTTGTTTAAAACTAAGTATGTTAAATTAAATTCATGTCCATGTTTGTTTTTATGTTTTCTTGCATGGCTTAAAAAATTTTCCATGACAGGTGAATTTGGAAGATTGGAACTCAAACATACACGTTTGATGATTTTACATTTCTATTCTAGAATTTGATCTTTCACATGGAAATTGGGTTTTGTTTATAAGGTTATAATTTTTATTTGAAGTTAGAAATGTTAGATTAAAGTTATTTCTTAAGAGTTTTGGGCCCTAATATGTATGAAATTGAGGTGGAATTTTGAAAAGCTTAAGTTCCAATTCAAGAACAGATTTTCGGACACAATCTAACCCAGAACCGCACGTGCGGCAAGGGGCCCCATACGTGTAGAAACTAGAACACAGCAAAGCTTGCATATTTTTTTTTATTACACGTGTGGCCTGGCCTTCCGCACGTGAGGTTTTAAGGGCAGTCCCGGTTTGGTTTTTGCTCTAATTTTCAACCCTCCAGGCCACTATTTGCAATGTTTTAAAGTAGTTTTCTTGTACATTTGCATTCATATGCATATTATAGGCACAAAAAGAAATAAGGAATGACAATTAGAATCGAACGAATGAACCGAATGATTGAACAATGTATCGAAATTGAATAAGTAAGTAACCGGCTGAATGATTGAACTGTATATTGAGGCATCATGCTTGAATTGTTTGCTTAGGTCGGATGCCGCGTCCTTAGTGTAACTTTAGCACGTATTTTAAGGAGCCCACTGTGAGTAACAATGTTGTAAAGCTATGTTCAATCGTAATTATTTTCTGATCGATTAAATGTGTTGTTTTCTAAAATGATACTGTTTATTAAATGAATGATTGTCCTATTTTATGAACTGTATTCGTGGCATCCATAGCATACTGCTATTGTTTACTGCTACTGTTTATTATTACTGTTATAGAGATCTCTGTTAGTTCCAATCTATGGAACTACTGTTACTGTATTGATGGCCATTAACTGACTGTTTGGTCTTTAAGACCGACTGTACTGTTCTGCTATTTGATGTACTACGTATGGCGGCTATGATTCCATATGACTATGAAATGTCTAAAATATTGCTTTGTGAATTTATTCACTACTGAATATGACGGCTTCGAATTGTTATAAGGACATCATTCATAAACCCCTTTACACATTTGTTATTCACTGGGTTTTAGCTCACTATTTATTATATATATATATATATATAGGTGATCGAGCACTGGATCAGAGTTAGCGGCATCGACCCGAACCCTATTTTTGTCAAGCCAACTATTGTGCCTTACTGCAAGGTTCTGAACCAACACGTGTCAAAGCTTATTGGGTGATTCAAATTCACCCTCTTGAAATTGGTCTAGTGTCAAGATTCTTTTATGACTTTCATTACTACTGTTTTGGCAATGAGATTTAATTCCCTGACTTGTGTTTTATCTTGTACATAAGTTTGTTTTGGACTTAAGTGATTATGCATATACAAGTATATGAAAGTTTGTTTTGTTTATTTAAGTCCATACAGCTCATTGAATGATATATATTCTATTATTGTTTGGCTTCCATCAACCCTGTTATCGTGTTATTGCCATTATTGTTAAGCAGACTTTCGGTAATCATAGATTACTGGCCGGTTACGACACTAAACCTATAGGGGCGGGTTTGGGTTGTGACAATCTCCAATATTTGTCAATATTTCTATCAAATCACATGAGTGTGAGCTTCACGTAAATCTCACATCTATGTGTGATATTTAATAAAAATATTGATAAAATTTTAAGAATATATAGCATTACTCAAGTAAGATTTATTTTGACAAATTGATTAAAAATTGATTTTTTAATTTTTTTAACATTATATCATTTCTTTATTTTTTTAAAAAAAATTAAAAAACTGTTTTTTAACCTAACTTTAGGACTAAATAGGGCAAGAGAAGCGGAGGGATCATGAATGAACTATAAGCAACAAATCTCATTTATATCGAGGAGGACACTCCCTGTTGCTCCTGCTATCAGTACAAACATTAATTAAATAATGGTATTACATGCATTAATTAATATATTAATTAGTGTATTAATATATAGGGATTTTTATTGATAAATCCCATTTAGGAGTGTTCGAATCCAAGAAGTCCTTGAAAGAAATTTATAACTCACATAGTCCCATGTATTTTATTCCATAAAGTCATTTGTCTTGATTTACACTATTTTCTTAGACTCTTATACCTTTATATTTAATGTTGATATTTATTACACACAAAAAAAAAAAAAAAAAAAAAAAAAAAAAAAAAAAAAAAAACAAAAAAAAAATGGAAAAAAAAAAAAAAACAAACAAACAAACAAACAAACAAACAAACAATGGTTTTATATTAACTGTCATTATGTTTTGGTAGTTCCCATGCATCAGGATGTTGACTATCATTATACACATTAATTTGAAATGAAATTTTGTCATTGTGTTATCAATTGATATTAATATTATTCACACACCCATGTAATATTGAATGGTGAATATGTTTTCATTGTATTCATTACCATTGTGATAAAGGCAATGTTAAAGTTCACATCAACATTGCATCAAATTACATAACCACAAGCCTCAACTTTCATTTTGAATACAAACATGATGTGAATGTTCACACTAAAACATATGAATGTGAATGTTCACATGAATTCTGGAATATAGATTATTGATGTGAATATTAATATCACGAATAACACATCAAATAAATTAATTTAGTCACATTAAGCCAAAAGTTATGTGAACATAATTATAAAACAACATAAACCAATATGAATATTATTATTGACTTTGTAGTAGCATACCATTGTATCTTATTAAGCACAATCAAAATAATTAATTATGGTTCTTTTGTTCAATGTATTCTAATGTTTACAAAATTGCAAAGAATGTGAGATTCATATTCATCTTTTTCTCGCAAATGTAAAGTGTGTCTTTGGATGCCTTGTACGTCCGTAGCACATATACAATGACATCATTAAACTTCATGCATTTTTCGAGGTCAACTTTACCGGTTCACAACACATCAAAAAACTAAACCAATGATGTTTCCTTCAAACAATCCAGTTGAGGATTTAAGAACTTGGTGCTCGTCATTTGTTTTACTAAACCAATGATGTTAGATTGGTAGTTGACATTTTTCATGTTCACCTTTTGGAGGGCTGGCTATATGTTTAAGTTTGTCTTCGACATGGAACTGTTCTCTTTTTCTTTTGCCATGAAATCTATAAGCAACATCTGTTTGTTCAATTGGAAACAAATTTACTATTAATGGTCACAAATGGTAAATGATAACATGCACAAACTATATGTCATGTGAGTAGTGAAATGATTATGGTGAATGTAGATGTGAATAGTCGATGTAAATATTCACACGGGGACATTACAAATCATGGATAAATAAGAAGTTAAGTACATGGTGTGAACATTCACATAATATATATCCAATGTGAATGTTCATAGCAACAAATTATAATTTGATTCACATTGAACCAAATAGAAGGGGGACAATAATTGAGGGTTCTAATTAGTTCTTTCCAAATGCACATTGAACCAAAAAGATAGTGGGTAATATGATTGTTCATATAAACACATTATCGCACATGATAAAACAACAATGGACAAAGTTAGATACATGTCACTTGGGTTGTTACTTAACAACAATGATAACCAGATAATGTAAATATTTACATCGTCTGTGTAGAAATTCACATTGAACCAAAAGATGGAAAATAATCAAAAATTTGAAGGTTCTGATTATTTGATCACTATCAATAATTAATAAGACCAACAAATCCAACATTGACAGAATGGGGAAAATAGAGAGCTTATTACAAAACAATAGCAAATGACAAAAAGAAAAAAAAAATGATAACAATAACCAGATCATGTAAATATTTACATCTGTTAGGTACTTGATGTGAATGTTCACATCAGGGGTTACTCAATAACAAATATAACTAGATGATGTAAAAAGAATTCACATCGAACCAAAAGATGGGGAAAAATAATAAGAAATTGGGGGGGGGGAGGGTTCTAATTATTTGATCACCATCAACAATCAATAAGACCAACAAGTCCAATATTGGCAGAAGGGGGAAAATATGGTGCTTATTGAAAAACAATAGCATATGACAACAAAAAAACGAACAATAATAACAGATTATGTAAATGTTTACATCAGTTAGGTACGTAACGTGAATGTTGACGTCGGTTGTTACTCAGCAACAATGGTAACCAGATGATGCATCATCTGTGTAGGAATTCACATTGAACCAAAAGATGGGAGAGAAAACATCAGAAAATGGGAGTTCTAATTATTTGATCACCATCAGCAATCAACAACACCAACATTCACAGAAAGGAGGGGGAAAATAGGGAGTTTATTACAAAACAATAGCATATGACAACAAAAAATAACAATAACAACTAGGTAATGTAAATGCTTACATCAATTATTTAGATTTAATTGACAAAAAAAAATAGAGGGTGGAATGATGGATGCTTACATTTGTTTCTCATTGTGGCTGGCCACGAACGAACCACAGTTGGCAATATTGAATCAATGTAAACGTTTGCAGTGGTGGATTGAAATGGAATACTAGCCGCCGGCGATGGTGGTGAAGCGATGTGAAACCTAGGGTTAGGGTTTGGGAGTTCTTGCTACAATAGTGATAGTTTTGGGAAGCAATGATTTGGGGAGTGAAATATGGAACGACGATGTAATATGATCGGTTTTGATTTTAGAATATAATAGGGGCAAGAGAGATAGAGGTTGTTTTGGTCTTCTTACCTCAAATAGGACCTAAGAACATCTTCAATGTTGTGCCATTGGAGCTGATATTGCCAAATTATGGCAGCAGTTAATAGAAAGGCACCTCTAATGGTAAGTTTTAGTAGCTGCTATCTTTAGTAAATGTCAAAACTTGGGTCAAATATGGCTCAAGCTTTGGCAGCTGCCAAAGTTGCCAAGTCAGCTTTAACCAACCGTTTCCTCCCTCCGTCCCGTTTTCATCATCCTTTCCAAACACAGAAAGCAATATTCACCCAAAAATCACACGAATTTCAAAACATTGAATCAATTTCCAAACACAGAAGCAAGCTAGAAAATCAACAATTTAAAATTTTAAAACATAGAAGCATGAAGTACCAAATTTCCAGACACATAATCAACAATCAATTTCCTTTCAAAACATAATGATTTAAAAACACAGAATCAATTTAGAAAATCAATAATCATCATCCTTTCAAAACACATAATCAATTTCCAAATTTCAATTTCAGCAATTTGAAGCAAAAAAAATTTAATAAAAAAAAATTAGAAAATCAACACAGTGAAGTAAAAAAAAATACCTGACAGAAATGGGTTAATCTTCTTCGTGTTCTTTGGATGATCTTCGTTGTGCTCATTAGGGTTTCAATCTACTTCGTGATCTTGTCCAACGTTATCGATCCATTCTAGGAGTGAGGGAACGAGAGAGAGAGAGAGAGAGAGGAGAGAGAAAATTATAGAGAGAGAGAGAGAGAGAGAGAGAAGAGTGAGAGAAAGAGAGGGGTGGTGGTGGTCGGTGGTGCTTGGGGGAAAGGGAGATTGAGAGTGAAAGGGAAAGGGAAATGGAGAGGGAGAGGGAGAGAGTGAGAGGGAAAGGAAGACGGAGGAAAGGTTGTCTTCGGTAATTGGGGGTAGACACTATCGCAAATCGGAGAGAGAGAGAGAGGGAGACTGAGATGAAAAAGGAGGACAAAATGGTGAGAGAGAGTGAGAAAGAGAGGAATAAGGTTGAATGATTCTACAGTCCAATGCTCAACCATTGATGATTTGTACGTGGACGGTGGTGATGAAAGAAACAGAGCTGTTTTGTAGTGGTATGAATTTTGGTGGAGTGAATTATATTTAATTTTCTTTTCTTCAATTTTTCATTTTTTATATTTGTCTAGTCAGGAATAATGTAAATATATAATTTTTTTTAGAAACAATTCAAAAAATGTCACTAAAGACAAAAAAAAAACAAACAAACAAAAAAAAATCACTCAAAAATTTATATTCAAACAACACTTATAAATTTAGAAAAAAATTGATTAAAATTTATCAAAATAACATGTGACTATTAGAATTTCATTACTATAATTTAGTAAAATAATACTATTCATTATCAAATGATAACAACTTTAACAAATAACATAGAAAATGCTCTTAGCTGGTAGTGGTGATGGCATCTGCTAGGAAACTTCTTCGTCCTCGGCTGTTTCTTGTTACTGTCACTGTTTAATTGTTACTGTTTATGGTCCCAAACATCTTTGCAACAATCGACGCACTCATTATTAAGCGCTTGTTTAGCCAGTATTAAAAAATATATATTTTTCTTTACATATATATATTTATTTAGATAACATCAATTAATATTTATTAATATTTACTCTCTATTTTTTTATTCATATTCTCTATTCCTTTTCATATTTTTTATAAAAATTCAAAAATATATTTATTTAGAATATTTTAAATCACTCTTAAATTAATCAATTAAT